GTGCCTAACAAGAGTATAGAATACACATTCCTACTCAAAACTTCAGGAAAAGGATCAAAGCTTAATTAAACAACGTAACAGTAAAAGCCACTCACGAATAAAGCATACCAAAACATCAATGTGACAACTGAGAATGTCTTCCACACATTCCTACCAAATGAAATACAGATATTAGCAGAATATGCAAAAGGGGCTCTCTACTTGGCAGTGCGCCTTCTTCCACTTAGTTCTGCCCATTCCACCCGTTCCAGCCAGCCTGGGCTCTTGAGGGGCCTAACTCCGAGAGAGGCCTGAAAGGAAAAAACTAAAAACCGGGCCTTCTCGGCAGTGGCCCCTCGTCTCTCAAACAACTTACCAACAGAAATCCACCTGCCCCCCTCGCTGAGGGCCTTCCAGAGCAAACTAAAGACCTGACTCTATAAGCAGGCCTTCCCAACAGCCATTACTTAGCTTTACCTCTTCTTTTGCCTTTTTTCCCATCTTGGACTTTTGCAGTAAAATTGGGCCCCATTTTTAATGCATTTATGTTTTCCTTTATTATATTTGTATCTTGTTTTTTGTATTTTGTGTAAACCCCCCAGAGTAGACATGTTCTAGATGGGCAGTATATAAGTCTACACAAATAAATAAATACTTGGTTTCTTATCGTAACAAGCCTTTAGATACCTCCATTGTAAGCACCTTAGGGCATGGAAAATAATAGCGCTTTGAACTGAGTCAGACTCAGAGCAGAAGGCAGTGTAGATCTATGGGACTCTTCCCTTTGTGCTCCAATGTTTGAAGTTCAGCTCCCAAAAGCCATAGCCAGCATACCTAAATGGCAAGGTGTTCTAGGAGTTGGGATTCTAAAAAATCTGCAAGGCTGAGATGTGCCACTGCAAGTGACACAACACAGTCCTATGGTACAAGTTGTTTGCTCCAATCAACAATTGTTGGATAGCTCCTTCTTGGATTGGAGCATATGAATTTATATGAATTCAGATTTGCATGTGGACTAAACAAATTTTTGTCCATCCCACCTTTATAGTCTAACAATTCCTTGGCCAGTTATATCAAGCATTGTGTTACAAGAGTCCAATATATTGTTTTAGCATGAAGCAAATCAGTCACTAACTGTGGAATCAATTATCTATGAAAGATTTAGTACGCATACACAGAAAGAGACAGAGAGACCATAGAAGCTGCAAGGAAAATATAAGCATAAATTTGATGAAAACTACACTCAAGGGAAAATCTCTCAGACTGTAAGAATCACTCAAGCTGAAGCATATCTGTTGCTAGTACAAGAAGACAGCCATCAAGCCCTTGCGGTGAGATGCTCTTCAGTAGAAATTTACCTAAAAAGAGGTTACCAGTTGTAACCAGCAAAAGCAAATGCACATTCAAAGAAAAATCTGAAATAAAGCTTAAAAAGCCCAGCTGTACTGAAAAACTAAATACTAGAGTTGCATGAAAGCTCTGCTTGGCTCAAGTTCTTCAAATAAGGTTCAAAATTTAAGTCACTCCCAACATCAAAGTCAGCATGCTATAGTGATTAACATTTCTGTTGAGGCATAGGAAATGCTGATTAAGAAACTGGGCAATGTATGCAGAAAAATGCTGGAGGATCTTATACAGCAATGTAGTTTATAAACAGGGGTGGGGACACACAGCACTTCTTTGAAATTTTATTTTGTTTTAGGAAAAAAGACACCTATTCTTCCTATCACAAGTTGGTCTACTACTAAAGTTTTGTTTTACACCCCAGCGAGCAACATCTGATGTAGAGGCTATGTCCACATGGAATGGCCATAATGTGCTGCACAATCATATAACCTCCATACATGAAAGACCACCAGGAAGATGTGGAGTTGTGGTGTGTTGTTCAATATTATAAAAATTGGTACAACAGACTAAGATGTTTCACATTGGATTGTAGGCAATATCAATGACAAATAAATGATACAGTTAAGTGTATTGCCAAGAATATATTCAGCCATAATTCCTTGAGTAAAGTAGTTCAAGTAAACACAGTATTCAGGGCATTCCTCCAACACCTGACAGGTATTTCCATTATGTGCTATACACTTTTTAATTACCAAGAGACAAAAATAACAACTTCATTTTGTTATAAAATATGTATGCCACATCCACAGTGTGGACATATGCACATAACCAAACATGAAAGAAAATGTTAAGATTTATCATGCTGTCATGCCAGAGGTAGCTTGTTGAAAGTACATTAGGGCTAAAAGTACGTTAGGACTACAATTCATGCTGAACTACACAACAAAATAGGGGAAAGGAGAGAAAGGAAGAGGTGAAAATGTGTAATTGACCTGAACTAGATCTAGCATATCCAGTGCATTTAGGCTGCCCTCTAGTGACACAAAAACCTGAAGTTGGCAATGGAGCAGAAATCAAACATTTCCTTCAGTTTGTAACCAGTTTGTAACCAGTGAGTATAACAATATATGGCATTAAACAACATAGAGGATTTCCATCACCTGAAGTCTCAATGGGATGATCAAGTGGTGAAGGACAACAGAACTTGTGGCCTAACAATATTTGAAGTTACAAGTTCCTCGTTACTGGACTAGATCGTTGTTGTCTGTATTTAGACCATTTAGAGTTCAATTGTTTATTCTTTATTTTCTGTTGTAAAAGAAAATAATCATGTCTATAAGCAATGAAAAGAGCAGATGGACTCATCTCTATAGCAAGAAGGGAGAAAAAAGATAAAAGTTCAGAACATTTGCATCCATCCCTCTTTGGATTTTTAACCAAACACATAGTTGTTTAGTTTACCTCCAGCAAGTGCTGTCAGATAAGAAACAGACTGAAGAAGCAATGCTTGCTATACATGGCTCCTCGGCATTGCTCAAAAACGCAAAGATTATCTTCTCATGGTGTCAGAGTTCACACTCAGGGCAAATGAATGACACAAAACATATCCACTTTTACTTACAGTGGAAAAAATTATGAATCTAAAGCTGCACACATTACTCTTTTCTCAACATTTTTGTTCATTAAATAATGTCAATTCAATAATGTAAACAACAGATTCAAATAGCACTAAAAAGCAGTAAGATATTTCAGAATACAAGCTTCTGCTTTTCCAAGTACTTCAGCCAGATTGAAAAATGAATAACTGTCACAGATTTTCAACAAACTATAACTCAGACTACAAAGCAAATGAACAGCCTTAAAGTTCAAGTTCAAACAAGGTCAAATCTTCTCTTGGAAATAAAAAAAGATTCAGGCACATTAACCATTCAGCTCTAAGACACCAAAACAGAAGGGCCTCCAAGAGTCATGCAAGTGCTAATACTTCAAGAGAAGATTATCATTATCAATATCACTGGAGAAATGGTGCAGGCCAGCAGCTAGAACAGCTCCTGCTTTTTGTACACTGTCATACAGAGTTCCTCCTCTGCGTTATTCAGATCATAACAAGTGTTAATTTATTTAGTCACTAGCACTGAGCAGTGCTACCAAAGTCTGTTCTATAATACACTAAAGCTTTGATGAGTCAAATAATTATGCCCTGCTCCATGTCAATTCCAAGCTTTAAGATATCGCACACACCCTTGCCTTAGCACCCACATCATAGAGGGAAGTGATTTCACCCTTTGGAGCACAGGCAAGAAAGCTACCATTGAGGAGGAGGAGCCCTGACACACATTTTATTTGGAAAATGAATAAACCAACATCTGAACAAGCATTTAGTGCCAGCTGCCTCTCTGTGTGTCAACAGCCTGCATTGAATGGAGCATTTCAGATTTGTGAACTTCAGTCTAAAAGAGTGAATCTCTTTTCCTAGAAACTTCAAAATGTTGATCTGAAGTAATCTAGAAAAAAACAAATATATGGTTCACAATCCAAGAGCATCATTGTAAACGCTTGTAGACATTATCTGAACGAGGGGATATAACTACTGAGTTGGAGGCGATATTTGTCTTTTGTTGACAGAAGTCCTCTGCTCACTGACAATGCCTCCGCCTGACTGAGCAGAAGGCAGCTTCTCTACCTCCCTCCTCAATGTGGCAGGGTCCCCTGAGCATTGAGGCATCATTTAAAGGGGTCTGGGAGGTTGCCATGAGGCAGAGTGGGCAGGGAAGTCTACTTTCAGCAGCTCAGCATCCACCCAGTAAGCTGCAATGTAAATTTACATCATTCTGTTGACATCCCTCTGTGATAAACTTTCATTTGTGCAGATGATGGACAGTGATTTTCAAACAGACTG